AACTTTGTCGAGTGAGTCCCCCTCCCCTGGCGGGGTGCTGAGCCTGCTCCCCCTGCCCTGGGGGGCTGGTGCCAGCCCCGGCTCACCCGGCGGCGTGCTGCTGTGCCCAGCTTCAACCCAGACCCACGGAGCCGGTACACGGTCTGGACCTTCCTGCTGGGCGGCACGCTGGTCTGGCTCTCCATGTACGGCGTCAACCAGGCCCAGGTCCAGCGCTACGTGGCCTGCAGGACCGAGCGGGAGGCCAGGATGTGAGTCCACGGGGATCGTCCAGATCTCGCTCTGCATGGGATGGTGCATGGGGCGAGGGGCTGCTCTGGGTGGGGTGGGGGGCTGCATGGCAGCCTGTCCCCCTCAGGGAGCCCAGTGCCTGCACCCCTGGCTAGGCCCTGCACCCCTGGACGGACCTTGGCACCCCTGTCTAGGCCCTGCACCCCTGCACGGACCTTGCACAGATCCTGCACCACCACACAGACCCTGCATGAACCCTGCGCCCTTTGCGTGGCCCTCGCACCCCTGCACAAACTCTGCACCCCTGCCTGGCCTCTGCGTGCTTGCATGGACCCTGCACTCTTGCACGGACCTTGCATCTTTGCACGGACCCTGCACTCTTGCACGGACCTTGCACCCTTGCACAGACCCTGCATGGACTCTGCACCCTTTCATGGACCCTACACAGACCCTTGCATTCTTGCACATGGACTCTTGCACGGCCCCTGCACCCTCGCGCAGACCCTGCACCCCCGCGCAGACCCTGCACCCCTGCACAGATCCTGCATTCTTGCAAGGCCCCTGCAGCCCTGCACGGACCTTGCACCCCTGCACAGCCCCTGCATGGCCCCTGCACACCTGCACCCTTGCACGGCCCCTGCACCCTTGCACGGCCCCTGCATCCCTGCTCAGCCGGGCGTGCTCCTGCCCTGTGCTTGCAGGGCGCTGCTGGTGAATCAAGTGGGGCTCTTCTGCATCGTCTCCAGCGCGGTGGCCTGTGGCCTTGTGATGTTTGCGCTGTACAAGGACTGCGATCCCCTCCTCGCCGGCTACATCTCAGCCCCAGACCAGGTACCGGCCCCTGCCAGCTCTGCCTGCTCAGGCACCAAATTGAGGGCAGCGAGGTGGAAGGGCGAGAGGGGCAGAGGCATCGCCTTGCCGCGTCCCACAGAGTGACTGCCAGGAGGTCGCCACGGTGGTGAGCGCCACGGAGATCCGGACGGTGGCTGAGCTGCTGCAGGTCTCCCCCGAGGGCCTGCAGAAAGCCATCACCTTCAAGGTGACGGTGAGTGTGGGGTTGGGGCACGAGGTAGGTGGGGGGGGGTTGTCCCTGGACCTTGGGGACCATGTCTGGTGTTGCTAAAACTCCATCGTGCTGTTGGTTTTGTGCACCCCAACCAGGAAACGCTGCGGGAGAAGATTTTTACCCCCCTGACTGTCGAAAGTGCCGTGGATGCCAGGTAGAGGGAAGGGGGGGGGCTGTGCTGTACAGGGGTGCGGGGGGTGTCTGGCCCCCGGGGATGGGGTGGGAGGTGAGGTACCAGGCTGGGAAAGGGGATGGTCAGGTCCTCTGGTGCAATTAGGCTTTCTGGTGATGAAAGCTGCAGCCCCAAGGGCTGCCCCATGCACAACGTGGGGCTGGCAATGATGATGGGGATGTGTGCCGTGCCGTGCCGTGCCGTGCCGTGCTGCACCGTGCCATCCCACGCCACACCGTGCCGCGCTACCCCACCCTGTGTGCCATGGCACTGTTTTGTGCCATGCCGTGGTGCACTGCTCGGTGCTGTGCCGTGCTGTGCCGTGCTGCACTGAGCTGTACCGTGCCGTGCCATGCCGAGCTGTGCTGTGCCATGCTACCTCATCCTGTGCAACACCATACTGTGCTGTGCCGTGCCGTGCTGTGCCATGCCGTGCCATACATCCTGCAATGCTGTGCCATGCTGCCGTGCACCGTGCCACGCTGTGCCGTGCACCATGCCATGCCATGCTGTGCCATCATGCACCGTGCCATGCCGTGCTGTGCCATGCACTGTGCCGTGCTGTGCCATCATGCACCGTGCCATGCTGTGCTGTGCCATGCACTGTGCCATGCTGTGCCATCATGCACCGTGCCACGCCGCTGAGCCTTCCCCGTCTCCCCTGCAGCGCTCATCTACGGCACCTCCTGCATCATGGTGGCAGCCCTGGCCTCGCTGCTGGGCGGTGGCGTGCTGCAGGTGAGCCCCGGCGCGCAGGGACGGATCCGGCACGGGGCTGAGCTTGCCCTGCTGCCCCCCTGGCCCCCTCTTTGCTCACCAGCTCTGCCCGGCCGAGCGGGCCCCCGCCACATGCTGCTC